CACCCTTCTCTACATTTTTACATGGTATCTTTTGTCTTTTTTCTCATTTTCAATCACAAAGATAGCTGACAGGTCATCGCATCTCATGTCTCTTTAGTACATGCTAGATAGAAAAGCAGTGACCTATGACCCCGTTACTGCAACCTTCGCGCGGTCTCAAATGCTCCATTCTGGATACTGAGAGGTTGAACTGGGTGGCTTCTTTTGTTGGGGCTCAATGATGAACCAGCCCTGAGTTAGACTCAAGAATCATTCAGGCAGCACAGCTTTGACCCAGAGACCTCAACCAGCAGCTGCTGGTGATGAGAGATCTGCGTGGTAATGAACGGTGTCTCTTTCTTCAGAAAAATATCACCGAAGCCTATCAGGTGAACAAGAAGTCTCTGAAGCCTGTGGTGAAGGTGATTCGGATGTCAGCCCCGGTCAAAGACGCTGTGTACAACTACAGCATTCAAACTCTGAACTCCACAGAGCTGGCCAAGAGGGAGCTGCATCGAGAGATGGCCAAGGTGAGTGAGAGGCCTCAGTGGGGCACAGTGACATACTTGTTGTCCAGACGGAGTAAAGCAGTTGCGTCATCAACGAGCTCTTTCCTCTCGGACTTCAGCTGGCTGGGGTGTCAGCCACGCGGATGAAAACTAGTCAGTCAGTGAGCCAAAGAGATCCTCAACCTACGCACAGATACACATGGGTGAACACCCTAAAAGTTCCTTAGCTGTGGTTTCACGAAAGGTGGCTGTCGCCCTCCAGATAGAATACCTGTCTTTGGCTTAGGCTTGAAACACAAATTCACTTTAGCAAAGTGGGGCAAATGACCCTTGCATGGAATGGCAGGTGGTAACTGCCATTGTGCCCCTAGCTATCTCTCTATTGGGAAGCCTAATGCCCAGGCCTGCTGTTACTCCTTCCATCTTGGTTTCCCCTCATTTCCAGGAGCCAGGGAAAAGGTTCACTTACTCACAGGATTACCTCTCCGCTACGGTGGAACCTTACGACTGGGAGGCTGAGCAGAAGGAAGCCGAGAAGAAATCTCGCCAGGCCTGGCTCACTGCTGAGGGATTCCAAACGACAGGTCTTCAGAGCAGCCACCACCACAGGCTGCCACCTGTGAGCAACAGCAGAGCGCAGGTCCATAGGGAGGGGCAGGGCATCCGGTGGGGTCGCCACAGGGCCTTCTTTCCTTCTAACGTCTTTCCTCCAATTTAGGGGTGGAAGGAACATGCACTGTATACAAATACATTGGAGCCTGTGCTGGACCGGAAGAGCTGGGGGTGGGCCCAGCGCCACATGGACTTTGATCTGTATAAGAAGCCACCCACTTTTTTCCAGCTTCCCCCTGCTCCAGCATTGAAGCACAGACAAGGTAATACCAAAGCTGAACCTCCTGAAGGTTTTGGCACACCAGCATGAACTCAGTGCCACTTTGTTTTTAGCAGTACCCAGTAGATCGTCAAAATCCGTGGGTCTAACGGGTTGAATGATGGGCTGGGACTCAGGAGACGTGGATTCTAACTCGTTGCCGTGGCACTGACTGCAACTTATAGTGACCGATGGGTCCGAGGACAATGGCCACACGGGTTTCCAAGGCTGTCATCCTTACAGAGGTAGACTGGAGCTTCAAAACAGGCCTTTTGGCTAGCACCACCTGGGCTCCTTCCTGGAGTCTCATCCCAGGTGGAAGCGCTAACTTGTGTCAATACAGTGATGCCAGCGAAGAGCTGGGGCCCTGCCCTGGCCCACACATCAATGCTTTCTAGTGAGCGATTGACCTAAGTTATCTCCCTTCTACACTCCAGAGCTAATGAACTGAAATAAGTAAATAGCTCTGTCCATACTATTTCTTTCCGTATTTAACTTTAAAATGGAAATTTTTACCAAAATAACTGCTTGGTGGAGTGGCCAATAGCTGTTCTAAATGCTCGGATGACCAAAAAAAGGAGCGATGACATATTTGGAGGAAAAATAGTTTGGCTCCTTGCACAAGATAACATCCCCAATGGGTTTGACGGAGCCTCAAATTGTCTAGGACAAAGAACAGCAAGAAGCCTGTAAGGGCAATATCAAGAGTACCCCAAAGTGGAGGCCAAGTCGTGAAGAGAAGCACAAAGAATAGCCCTAGAGGGATGGTAATATGCAGTCAGTGCTTGTTACCCGAGAAGCAGCGCAACATCAAGACACGTGCTCACTGTGGCTCTGGACTGGGCATCTCCTCTCTTGCAGGGTGAGGTCGAAGGCGCAGGGGTCAA